CGGAATCCTTAACAAATGCAATACAGAAGCTCAAGTCTGACTCGTCGCTGACCGCATTGCAGGCTGAGCGCTGGCCTGTGGTGCTCAGACGCAGAGACCTTGTGGCCGCTAATCACATGGCCTCGAAATGAAAGTCCCTGGTCTACCTCGTTCTAGCCCTCGTCCACGCTGTTGCGAAAGACGGCGACGCCGACGCGGTCCCGGAGGCGCCACTGCTTTCGACCCCGCCGGGAAGGTCACCAGCCGTTTGGTAGCGTATGTTTCTCAGCTCGCGACTGCTTCTGCGCAGAGCTGAGGAGACGAGCGGACGAGACGACGGTGAGTTAAACAAGGTTTATGTACAGCATATATACAGAGGCGTTACAATTTCGGCACTGGGGCCGGCAGAGACTCGAAGAGCCGAGCTCCTCTCTCTAATACATAGGTCAGCCTTTCGCCTAAAACCGCTGACTCACACACATGTCGGCACTCCGACACGGGGACGCCTCTCACATAGGACCGCCGATCGCGACGCGCCGCAGGGCTTCTTTTATTTACACCGGGTCCACCCAAAATGTCCAATCAGAAACGCCGCCGGTCGTCCGGGCAGATTCCGCCAATGGGGGTCGCCGCGCCATGCGTCAGACCACCAGGCACGAGAACGCCGGCTCGCTGTCACGTGCGCCGATGACTCAATGCACGTGGGCGAGAGAGGCGCCGCGCGTGTTCACGCCGTTGAGATGTTCGCGTCGGGCAGACGGCGGGCTGGCCTTGACCCAGATTGCCTTTTTCAGAGGCACGGTCGTTTGACGAGGACTCGCTGGCATAACAGCACCCCCGCCGCCAGACAATGCACCGGAAAGACGAGCTGCTTCCACGGGGCTCGGATGTCAGGTGCGCTCGTTCGCCTGGTCCCTCCAGGTTCGCCTCCAGGGCCATGGGGAGAATACAGCTCCAGACTGGTCCGGGAACACATCCCATTTTTGACGACGGATCCCAGCTCCACTGGCTTGTCGCCACAACTTGCTGACCAGCTTCACTCGTCTCTTCTGACCATCTTCGGGTTCAGCACTTGTCGATGGTTCTGCAACTTGCTAAGAACGGTTCGACAACAGACAACACACGACACAAGCAAGTGCCCTCGGTCACCCGACAGAACACCAGACAAAGTATAGTACAACATATACCTATCTACGTGTCTATCGGAATTTTGTTCCCTCTACATCAAGAGGCACATGTGGGACAAAAGACCCCTAAAATGACAACTCAATTTTTTTTTTCCACGTACAACAACGTAACGGATTAGAATACCACATAAAGTTGGCCCCTTGAGATCACTCTGAACGAGAGCGCTCAGCCCAGGTCGTGATGAGGTCAAAATTTTGCCCCGAATCGCCAGCCAGAAACCGAAAGGTTGAGAAGTTACTAGCTGGAACGCACTGCTCAATGCACCTGCATTAGCGTTTACCTTTTTTTTTTTTTTTCCTTTAGCGAACGTCAAAGTTGCGCTGTGGAGCAACATGCCCCACTTCAGTAACTGGCCACTTTTAGGCGACGATACCTATGCGGCACCAAGAGCGGCTCACACTTGCGACGTTGCACAGGGGAACAACGATACGACTTGCTACTGATTGACTCCTCACCGCTTAGCTCGATATCGTGTTCGATCACCGTCGTGTCTCCGGGACGGTCCGACAACACATACCCAAACTCGGAAACAATCTTTCTCAGGTCCTCTTTCTCAGGTCCTCCTTCACTTACGCTAGGCTCTAGGTTTATCTGCTCCCGGATTACTTTCGATCCCCCTTCAATTACCTCACTAGAACTCAAAATTTCTGCTTCCTCTTCCTCTGAAGCCTTCAACAGCTGATTTACGACCGCTTGATGTTGAACATTGGGTTTCATCAAGTTGTAAATTTTGTTCTGCCGCCTTCCTACTTGCACCTCATAAGTTGTATCGCAAGGCTTCGATAATACTTTGGCGGGCCCTTCCCAATCAACCTCAAGCTTGTTCCTTTTGGATGGCTGCAGCCGCATTACCTGATTATCAACTTCAAAAGCGCGCTTCTTCCCCGATTTCTCGTAGTGCTCCTTCGACAGCACTTTTGCCGCGTTTTTCTGGCTTTCCACTAGCGCTTCAATCGAGAGATCCTCACGCTGCTCTCGAATGAGCGTTTCTCGATCAACTCTCGGCAGCTCGCTCCAACTTTCCGCTACAGGCGAGAGCGTTGCAGCCCTCTCGCTCTGATTCAATGGCGCCATGTCGTCTCCCCTTTCTCCGGAAACCGCGCAGCTAGGTTCGGCGACGGGCCGCTCGCGTGACTGCTCACATGACTCATGCGGAAACTTCCTTTCTGGGGTTCCGTCGACCCGCCGACAAGGTCACTTGAGAGTTCACCGCATGGAACCAAGTCAAGCTTCCGCGAAAGCTTTCGCGCTTGCGATCGCGTGGGAGCCATGCACGCTAAGTTGGGGAAGAACGATTTGCCCTGCTCTTTGAGAAGCTGCTCCGAGTTGTTGGAGAAAGATAAGAAAAACGACCATTCAGCGCGGCAGACACAGCCGCTTCGGTGCAAAGCTTACCGAACGGGCCTTCAATGACAACGGTGGCGATTGGTAAGCGAACACTCTGCTCCTCGGCGACTTGCCTGATCCACGCGCATTCTCCTGTGAAGTCATCCGGAGACACCAATGAAGGATGGACAACGTCCATGGTTGCCGCTGAGTCTCTAAGTGCTCGGCACGTTTTCTCATTGACCCTAATTTCTTGGAGATACGGCTCCAACAACCGCATGTTCTTTTCCGATTCTCTAATTGTTGCAAAAGCAAACTTTTGCTTACAGTTTATCGCGATGTGCCCTTCCTTTTTGCAGTTGTAGCAGATTAGTGGCTTCCGTGATTCAAACGCCCGTGTGGTATCAGTGCGTTGTTTAGAGACCTCACTCGATTTTTCCGCTTCTGTTTTCTCTTCCTCTACAGTGTCCTTCGTAAGAGACGGGTCCTTTTTGAAATTACGGTGCGGAGCGGTTTTCCGTTGATCAGGTTTCCTTGAAAAGCCCTCTTTTCTCTCATCTTTTTCAACGCGCACTGCCCTGCTGTGCAACTTTCGGCGAGTATAATACTCCTCAGCTAACTCTGCTGCCTTGTTTAGCTGTACTTCACTAAGTCTGTCCTGCAGCCAAAGCCTGACATTATCCTCGATGCAGCGGTAGAATTGCTCCAATGCAACGCATTCCACCACTTTATCGCGATCATCATAAACACCTTCGCCCTTGAGCCATTCAATTAAATCGGCTTTAAGACGAAACGCGAAGTCAACGTGTGACTCATTCCCCTTTTCAGCATACCGGAACCTTTGCCTGAAAGCCTCAGGTGACAACTTATAACGTCTCAAGAGCACTTCCTTAACCTCGTCATAGCTCTCAAACGCTTCCCTAGACAAGCAAGTTATCGCGTCGGACACTTCGCCGGGAAGAAGAGCTAACAGGTTCTGCTCCCAAAGAGACCGCTCCAAAGCGTTTCGCTCACAGACGTGTTCAAACTTGACGAGATACTTCGCTATGTCCTCGCCTACTACGAACGGTGGCAGTTGGTCCCGAATTCTAAAACCGCTGACCTGAATCGTCGGAGAAGCTACGCTAGGCGCCTGCGAACACTGTAGGATTGCCAATTCTAGTCGTTTCAACTCGAGACGCTCCTGTCTCTCGGCCTCCTCGCGACGTTCGCGCCTTTCAGCTTCTTCGCGAGCTTCGCGCCTTTCAGCTTCTTCGCGAGCTTCGCGCCTTTCAGCTTCTTCGCGAGCTTCTACTTCTCGCCTTTCAGCCTCCTCACGGCGTGCTTTAATATCCACCCAGGCCTCATCGACTTCCTCAGCCGACACTCCCTCAACCTTCATGATCTCAAGGATCGCTTGCTTTCGTTTCGCACGGCCCAAAGTAATGCCGAGTTCCTCACAAATTTCGATGAGTTCCTTCACTTTAAGGTTCTCCATCGTTCACACTAGCCTCTTGCTGTTTGCCCCTGTTAACAATTTACTTGCCGTACCCACTATAAGTCAACTAGCAAGACGCGCAAGCAATTTTTCACTCTCCCGTGTTTACCACCTCCGCATTAACTTTGGTTTCAAAGCACTTCAACTTGGCTTGAAACGATCAAAGCTCACTTCAATGCTTCACACAGCCCTTTCTCTAAACTACTACAACCTGAGCTAGAGTAGTCTGGTGAACTGAGGGGAAAACATCAGGCACTCACCGCATCGATGTCGCTGACGCCGGCCGATCCCGCAGCTGCCAACCACTGTTGAGAAACGGCGGACCGATCCCGCCGAAGCCACCACTGTTGCGAAAGACGGCGACGCCGACGCGGTCCCGGAGGCGCCACTGCTTTCGACCCCGCCGGGAAGGTCACCAGCCGTTTGGTAGCGTATGTTTCTCAGCTCGCGACTGCTTCTGCGCAGAGCTGAGGAGACGAGCGGACGAGACGACGGTGAGTTAAACAAGGTTATGTACAGCATATATACAGAGGCGTTACAATTTCGGCACTGGGGCCGGCAGAGACTCGAAGAGCCGAGCTCCTCTCTCTAATACATAGGTCAGCCTTTCGCCTAAAACCGCTGACTCACACACATGTCGGCACTCCGACACGGGGACGCCTCTCACATAGGACCGCCGATCGCGACGCGCCGCAGGGCTTCTTTTATTTACACCGGGTCCACCCAAAATGTCCAATCAGAAACGCCGCCGGTCGTCCGGGCAGATTCCGCCAATGGGGGTCGCCGCGCCATGCGTCAGACCACCAGGCACGAGAACGCCGGCTCGCTGTCACGTGCGCCGATGACTCAATGCACGTGGGCGAGAGAGGCGCCGCGCGTGTTCACGCCGTTGAGATGTTCGCGTCGGGCAGACGGCGGGCTGGCCTTGACCCAGATTGCCTTTTTCAGAGGCACGGTCGTTTTGACGAGGACTCGCTGGCATAACAACGCACAACACCAGCAGTCAGTACTGCACGATGGTGGACCTACGATGTTAGTGTTGACACTGGCGCGAGAAGTGGCCCTGCAGGTTCAAACCGCTGTTCAGGAGCTTAGCAGGGAGTCAGGGATTCATACGGTGTGTATCCTGTCCGGTTATTCCAAGCCACCGCAGATTAAGCAACTGAAGAAAGGCATTGACAATTGCACCGCGACTCCAGGCCACCTCAAAGCCTTCACGATTAAGGACATGGTGAAGGTAGGCCACTGCACGCTTTTGGCTACAGATGAAGTGGACTGCATACTGTTGGTGGGCTTCGGCGGGAGTATTAAGTCCATTACGGACAACACACGACCGGACCGCCAGACGCTCGTGAAGCTGGCGTACGCTATACGAATCAGTCGCAAGAGCTAGCTCAGGAATCCACAAATGCTCCCGTCATCGTCCGCATCCGCACAGCGACGCAAGAGCAGCAGAATTAGCGAGTCCTCGTTTGCGAGAAGGCCAAGAAGAACTACAAGCCCAACGCCCTGCTGAATGACATTCTCAGCAACGAAAACGGCCGGGCTGTCGCACGTGTCGAGAGTCGGCAAACAGTAGAAGACCTCGCGTCGACCTTGCGCTTCAGGGCTCGCCGGCAGTTGGTGTTCACGCAATGAGGACGAAGCAAGCACACCAAGCGACTTTCTGCGCCGCTTGAGGCACGCTGCTGTGCCCGACGGAATGGACAGGATGCACACGTTCCTAGCATCTGACGAACAAGTGCGTACAAGGGACCTGATGCGGTTGCCCCGGGAAAACAAGGGGCCACTTCCGCCAGGACTACGTAAGGTCGCGAATAAGACGGCATGAAATTAGGCTGCATGTATAACACTACATTCGACTTGGCCACGTAGCGAAGAGCGCATGAAAAAGTGCCTTTGGCGTATTCGCAGCTAGATATTGATTTGATTGATATATAGTGTTTAACGTCCCAAAACCACCATATGATTATGAGAGACGCCGTAGTGGAGGGCTCCGGAAATTTCGACCACCTGGGGTTCTTTAACGTGCAACCCAAATCTGAGCACACGGGCCTACATCGCAGCTAGATAACCACTCGCCATTGACAGTATGAGGCCAGCCACAATAAAATTGATTCAGTGCTTGGAATTTTCAGAGCTTATAGCTGTACCGCTGTTGCTGCTGCCAGGCCCATAATATCCAGCAGCTCATAAAACAAACAAAAAAAAACCCGACGGAAAGACGCCGCGTCATTGACTTGCTTGCTTAACGGTAATAGATGAACAGCTTTTACAATGCGACGTATCCTTAGCTAGAGCCATAGGTAGGCGAAATTACTACTTGAGTCGACTCAGTCGAACTCGCTCAGACTTTGATAGAATCTTGAGTCCACGCTGAGTCCGGTTGAAGAAAACTTTCGTCAGTGTGAGGTCGAGTGAGTTCGGCTCAGGAAAATCTTAATGAGTCGTAGTCCAAAGCACAAGATATATTTCTTGAGGGAGTATGAGTTATTTCCATAAATTGTTGCCGTCCCATGGCTATACAGCTGTGCTTCTGAAGCCATCTGCTCTTTTCACGTGTTTACTTCAAAGCCAACATTTAGAATGTTCAATAGCAGCACCTTCTAAAAAACCACCAGCACAGTCACGGCGAAAGCTGGAAAAACCACCGTTCAGAGCTTTTTTTTTAAACACTTTGGGTAACTGCTACAGAGTCGTTTGCAGGGTGCCCACTACGCCATAACTCGTAATTTTTGTGTAGTAGGGAGGCATTCAATATGCCATTCACCCTTCATCATCAGGTCACGTCAAATATCGATAACACAATAATAAAAGTTAACGTACTCTGCACTACGGCATAAATGCCTCCGAATGGTTGTGTCACGTAAACTTACACGGGAGTGCTTATATGTTCTAAATACGGCCAAATTCGTCATTTCTTCAACTCTCCGACTGGCTCAGATAGCTCTGCTTCTACCTTTTCGATTGTATCAGACACGCTAACTTGGCGAAACTGACACCTCTGGTCTTGCGTCTTAACGTTCATCACGTGTTACGTCATAACAGTGATATGCGTGCAAGGGAAGTATCGATTAATAATACCACTCACCGGTACAAAATTATCCCACATGGATTCTGATGGAACGGCGAGCTTTCACAGCAGCATCTTGCAACTGTATCATGGGCCTTCGGAGCGGATAGCTTTTCCTGGCTTACTCTTCGCGAGGGCTTCATTCGGCTTTTCGCTACGCAGTCCGTGCGCTTATCTGCGATATGCGCCGGCCGGCCAACTCCGCAAAGATGTTCCGCCAGAGCCGAAGCGATAATGCTCGTACCGGTGCGCCATCGCAGCCTTTGAGCACTGATCGCTGTTTGATTTCTACGCGTTCAGGGCTCTTAAACCACGCCGAGTGCAAAGACGAGACAATGCATTCTCTCTCGCCTTCACTACCCTTCCTACAAGCGATATTTCCTCCTCGCCACTTTGTCTCTAGAAAGCACGTGGCATGTCTGACCTAGGCTCTGGACCAGTTTGGATTTCGCGCTTTTTCCCAAACGCTGCTCCCAAATCACGCGAAACGCGGCAGAACGGAAATGCATATGTACCCGGACTGAGCATATGAGCCACGCGCCGACGCGCTGCAACGCGTACGTGTGGTCAGTCCTTAACGCGCTCGTTCTCGGTATTTTCGGGTGTGGTTTAGGAACCCTTTAGTTAGCTCGGGCTCTCGTCAACGTCTCGCATCGCTTGGCGTAGCCCAGGCAAAACAACGTAAGCTGAAGAGGAGCGATGTGAGGAGAAGAGAAATAAGGAATGAAGGGGTAGGTGAAAGGTAGTCATCTTATGTCGCTGCGTCACACAGGCTACAGGAATATTAGCGAAGCCATGCATTATTCTAAAGTGGAGGCAAAGAGAAATGAGGAGAATGGAAAGGGAGGGGGTAGATCACAGCATAGCCATGTATAGTATGGAAGGGAAAGGAAATGGAGAGTGAGGATCGAACGCAGCGCAGCCATGTATGTGCCACTAACAAGCAATACAACTCAGTCATATATAAAAACTGACTGTGAGTCAAATTGACTCACAACCAGTTTTTGTTCATGAGTCTGTCTCTAACCCTCCACATTCGATGGAGGCGAAAATGCTGTAGACCTGTGTGCTCAGATTTGGTTGCACGTTGAAGAACCCCAGGTGGACGAAATTTCCGGAGCCCTGCACTACGGCGTCTCTTATAAATCATATGGTGGTTTTGGGACGTTAAACCCCACATATCAAACTGTCTCTAACCCTCTTCCAGTAACCTTCGGTGTTCCCCAAGGTTCGGTTTTAGGCCCTTATTGTTCCTAATATACATTAATGACTTACCTTTACATGTTTCATGTCACATTTGCATGTTCACTGATGACTGCGTCATTTATCGTACTATTACCGATTCATCTGAACAGCAAGCACTTCAACATGATCTTAACTCTATTCAAGCACGATGTGACCAGTGGCTCATGACACTGCAATGTTTCACGTCGTCAAAACCCTTTAACTTTTTCTTACAGAGTCGGTAACGTAGACATAGACCAAGTCGAATCCTATAAGTACCTGGATGTAACATTGTCTTATGATCTAACGTGGGGTATGCATGTCATTAACATAAGGCGGAAATGTTGTAGGCCCGTGTACTCAGATTTGGGTGCACGTTAAAGAACCCCAGGTGGTCAAAATTTCCGGAGCCCTCCACTACGGCGTCTCTCATAATCATATGGTGGTTTTGGGACGTTAAACCCCACAAATCAATCAATCAATCATGTCATTAACATAATAGCGGGAGCTAGCAAATCACTCGGATGTCTAAAACGCCATTTGCGTCATGCTCCCAGACATCTGAAACTTCTAGCCTACAAATCCATAATCAGACCAAAGCTTGAGTATGCCACTGCCATTTGGAGCCCGTCCCAGGCTTACCTAACAAATTCACTCGGGGCACTGCAGAACCGTGCCGTACGATTTAATAATTCATCCTTCTCGCATCTTATCAGTGTCATTGTTGAGGGAAGAATAATCTTTATCAGCTCTTGCACTTCGTCGTCGCACAGCCGCTCTCACGTGACCGGCCAGGCTTTATCACCCCGCCAGCCCGCACAACTCATCGTACCGGTCATGCCTTGCAAGTCACCCAACCGCGCAGCCACACTAAGACATTTTCTGCCTTTTTTTCACGGTCATTATTTGAGTGGAACGACATTTCCCACCACATTGCCGCCATTTACCTGCCCGACCTTAATCTTGCAAAATGTAACACATTACCTGTCTCACAAATAACATACATGTACTTACCATTTTTATACTTTCTCTATATCCACCTTTATGCAACACCCCCCTAGAGGGGTCTTTAAGGCAATGAAGTGGAATGAAATATATAACCCTTCGGGACAGTTGGGCGATTCTCCTCGCCGCTCGCTGCACCCCGCCTAAGCGTCACCCAGTTTTTGTGACGTATACAACCATTTTCCCTGCCGACCGCAGCAGAGCCGCGCGGAGTGACGGAGGCTAGCCACGATCACCTGCAGTGCTTCTTCACCTGCGATAGAGTGTACTAGAAGTGTTCTAGTAGACTGTATCCACGAGCAGCGCGCCCGCCTGCACACTTGTAGCCACAAAGTGTTGTACCTGATTATCAAAGCTCTCCTGCATTTTATAAAAGCTCACACGACTTTTCGAGAGCCGATTCTATCAGGGGCGCAGTCGCAATTTTTTTCCCAGTGGGGGAGGGGGAATGCACTCCCCCCCCCCCCTGAAACAGTCATTTTTCGCTCTTTGTGCCCGGGCAAAAAAAGTTTCGGGGTGGGGGAGCGGCACGCGCCCAGTGGGCCACGCCCTTGGATTATATAGCAATATCATTTAGTCATATATAGCTTTCGGGAGAGTTTGGCGATTCTTTCATCTCGCCGCTCTCTGCACCCAGCCTCAGCACTGCCCACTTTTCGTAACGTACAACCGTTCTCCATGCCGGGGAGAATAGTTTATGCCAGGGCGAAAAAGCTTTTTTTTAGGGGGGGGGGGGGGAGCACGGGTTTGGTGGGCCACCCCCTAGGCCGAGCCCCGGGTTCTATACATTGTGGGGGTGCTGACACCCTCTGTAAAGTTGTTTGCGCCGCGTGGCGCACATGTCTCGCACACAAGCCGAATTTCGGGTTACAACTATTGGGCGGTAGGTGGCGTTGTGTTCGCGAGCGTTGATCACCACTATCATCATCACCATGGTATAGCGCCGGCGTGCGAGAAACAAGCTGGTCTCTTTTGACGTGGGGCGGTAGCGCGGACGGTTGCCTCCAGCGGTGGGTCTGCGTGGACGGCACCGCGGGCCGCCTGTGGTGGGCCCACGTGGCGAGTCAGGCGTTAGCGACACCGCCTTGGTT